ATGTTCTTATTTATATTTACATGCCTACTCAATGAATTTCTGTTAGGGTTAGAGTTAGGGTAAGGGTTGGGGTAAGTGTTAGGGTGGGATAGAGATATCGTATGTAAAAAGGCCCAAGTTTCTGTCTTACGGGAAGCGTGGGGAATAGGCATGTAAATATAAATAAGAACATTTGTCGCTACCAAGGAAACCCTTGACGTTTATTCATCTGAGCTTTCAAACGCCATCAGAGATAAAAGCGAAAACAAAACAACCAGCAGTTCTAGTGGATAGAGGCCAACAAAACATCAATAGCGCCAGTCCGGGGGGCGACTAAGCAGAGTTCTGTACACCGACACCAAAGCAATATATGGATGGATTGAATTCGAATCGGAGACTCTTATTTTAATCGATTCGCGGCACTCTTTGCATCAGACACGGAAAGTTACCGGTTTGACTTCGGAGCCAGGACGATAACCGTCCATGCCAGAAGCAAGATAAGCTTCGAACTCATTGAAGCCTGGGCCTCAAAGGTGAACTCAGTCAATCGACATATTGACCTGATGCCGGTCCAAAGAACCCTGCGCAGTCGCCTTTGAAAGGGCTTTTGGTTGGCCCCTACCCCTATAACAGTTGCTTGTTTGTCACCGCTTTCATCTATGACAGTAGGATTTACTAAGAGTATGAAACCTTAGAGGAATAAAATGATCCCAGCGATTGAACAGCCTTTTCCTACCCTGTTTGAGCTATATGCAGTCATTTCCGTCCTCATTTGGCTCATGATGCACTACTTGTAGTCAGTGGACGGCGAATAAAATCCTCATTCGCGAATGAATGAAAAGGTTAACGTTCAAGGTATTTGCATAGATAAGGACGAAGGCGCGTCGAGCACCGGATCAATTGGTTTAATGTCCTGAGCTTTTAAACTCTCATTGGAGTCCCACAGCGTCAGCCTAGAGCATTGAATGCATCGCCGGTCGAAGACCTTTAAAGAAGGACATCCATGGAGATTCTTAGCCTTATCGGCGATATGACGCCACGTCCAAACAAAACTTAATTGTGCGCGTGAAAGCCAAAAACAGAAAGCTTTCGTTTAAAAATAAAGTAAACAATCATTTTTACCATTCGGCCATAGAAAAAACAAAATAAGTATGAGTACAAATAGAAAAGAGAAAAAGAGAAAGCGCTCTTTGGGAATGTGGAAAACTGAGGACACGTATTAGGTAAACTTCGATTTCGCCGTGGAACTTTCCCGACCTGACCGCTCGGAGAGGACATTTTTCAGCATATAAGCCGGTTGGTAGGCCGTCAGACCCGTGGGCGAGATTATACGCAGTTCTGGATTCGGATGCGTGTCCTCCAGGCTACCGAGAGAAGTGTAGCTAAGAGCGAGGGAAAGTGAAAAAAAAACAGAATCGTCAAAACCTAGTCAACAGGTTTGGAAAACGCGTTCAACATTGATCACAGTACTTACGCGTGTTTTCATTTAATTAGCTGTACAGTAGCCGCAGAAGACCATGCAACGCTAATTATGAAATTTGGCTAGACATTATAGGATATAT